GCGGGCCATGTGGATATGAAGGAGATAATCCTCGATCCATACTGCAGGATCTGTTGTGCCATCGTATGATTCGATGTTTACGGGTTTAAACCCTTCGAGGATTTGATGATCCATTACTTCATCTGTGAAGCATAGTGGGTGTGCGGCGCCTCTGTACTGGGCTATATCACGACGTAGCTCATATGAGCTTTGCCTGCCCTATCCGGCCTGGACGTATTTGCCATATCCGGTGTGACGGTTACCGTCACGTGTCGTGGGGCGCCCACGCGATCCGTAGATCGATCTTGTTTGCCTGGCCTTGTCCTCCAGTATGTCTCGCAGGTCTGGCGCGTTTCTCCGTGCCTTGGTACTTTTTGAGCGGCGCCGGGGTGCGGCTTGAGTTGAGGGCCGAAAGGCTTCTCTGTCGCGGCCACGGGGTGGCCGATCGATCGCATCATACGCTGGTGATGTAGGTGTAGTTGCTTCCTCCTCTAATTGGGGTAGCAGCCTGCGCTTTGGGTAGCTCTTGGAGGGGCGTTTGAGTTTGTACTCTTCGGCCGCCAGGACTTCAGTCCATCTGTCGGCTAGCAAATCTTGGTCAGCTCTAAGCTGCTGCTGTTTTTTCTTGAGGATGCTTGCCGTGGCTATAAGCCTGCGTTTGAAACGCTCTTGTTCGACGGGATCCTCAGGCACGACAAATTCGTCGTCGTTGAGGCTTGCCTCGTCTTCGGAGGGAGGCATATAATTGTCGTCCTCGACCTCTCTGTCTGCCGCTCTCTCATGAGGGCTGGCTTCTCCATCCTCCTGCGCCGAATCTTGCTGGAGGGGGTTGTCTTCGGCACAGTCCGAGGGGTGTTATTGTTTCCGGTGCCGGACTCGCCGTTTTTACTTTGGCGGGATTTAGAGCGGCGCTGCTGACGCCGGCGATTAGGCTGTTTCTTGGAGGGGTCCTCCTCCGTTGTTCCATTGCCATCTCCTTCTTTTTGGGTGTCCACCATGTATACGTCATATGACGAGGTGGCTTTCCAGTGTCCTATAGGCGCTGGCTCTTGGTCGTCTCCTTCATCGGCGTCCATACCGTCGATGTCTTCGGAGTCGAAGTCAAGCATGTCGGTTAAATCATCGACAGTGGCTACGAAGTGGGTGGTGGGTGGGCTTCGAATTTCTTCGTCGTCCGCATCCCAACCTTGCTGACCATAGTCCGGCCAGGGCTCTCCTGACAAAGAGAGAGACTTTAGTGAATTCAGGATGTCGCCAAAGGGCGAGTACTGAAAGATGTCCACGGCGGCGAACTCCATGATCGGGACCCAGTTGGGTTCGATCGGAAGGGGTGCGGAGGATTCGGAGTCCGGAAAGGAGTCCAACACCTTGGAGTCACGAGCCTCACAAAGGACCAGGCGGGTATTCGGCTCGATCGCCATAGAGATTGCAGCCCCCGAGGCGGTGTCCAAGCATCCATCCCTGGTTGGCGTAGTCGGCTCCGTGCTAAGGGTCGGAGCGGACACCTGAGCGGCCTTCTGGGCACTATCCGGCGGCAGAGCTAGATCATGCCCATCGTGATAGTGCGGTGTGCTCGGCTATGGCTCGAATCCGTCGAAGATCAAGTCTCCGCGGATGTCAGCCATGTAGTTTAAACTTTCAAATCTGACCTGATGGCCAGGGGCGTAGCTTTCGATCTGCTCTAGATGGCCAAGCGAATTTGCCCGCGGTGCAAAGCCGCCGAATACGAAGATCTGTCCGAGGAGAAAAGTCTCACCCTGGACCGCGTCGTGGTTGATGATCGAAGAAGCCATCGGGCCTAAAGGTGACGACACAGAGGAACTCTCAATGAAAGCACCAATGTCGGTGTCAAAACCGGCGGATCTCGGGTAGGGGGTCCCGAACTGTGCGTCTAGGCGGATGGTAACATGAGACAAGGGACACGATGTTTTTACCCAGGTTCGGGCCCTCTCGATGGAGGTAAAACCCTACTCCTACTTGATTAATATTGATGATATGGGTAGTACAAGAGTAGATCTACCACGAGATCAGAGAGGCTAAACCCTAGAAGCTAGCCTATGGTATGATTGTTGTTCGTCCTACGGACTAAAACCCTCCGGTTTATATAGACACCGGAGAGGGTTAGGGTTACACAGAGTCGGTTACAATGGGAGGAGATCTACGTATCGTATCGCCAAGCTTACCTTCCACGCCAAGGAAAGTCCTATCCGGACACGGGACGAAGTCTTCAATCTTGTATCTTCATAGTCCGAGAGTCCGACCAAAGGTCATAGTCCGGCCATCCGGACACCCCCTAATCCAGGACTCCCTCAGAGAGGGAGAGCTCGACGGCGGCGCACGAGAGAGGGAGAGCTCGGCGGCTAGGGCTGGTGTGGCCAAAGGCTAGGGAGGCCATCGGCTTATATAGCCGCGCCCGTGTGTACGCGTGGCGGGAGGGGAGGTGTCGCCGCGCCGCCCCGTGATGCGCCGCCCGTGAGGAATCAATGGCAAGGCTGACCGGCGGCGGCAGCGCGGCAGCCTTGGCATTGATTCCCGCGGGAACTGAGGCGATGAGGGCGACGAAGCGCTCGTCTCGCTGACTCGGCGGGCCCGCGACTGTTTCGCGCCATATCCACTCGCCCCAGCGAACCGGGCGCGCCCGATTCGGCCTGGGTCCGCCGACGCTGATTTCGGCCCAGGCCGGTGAAAATTGGGCTCCTGGGGCGTGACTGTTTCGTTTTTACGGCGCCAGCAAAAAAAAATCGCCTGGGAAGGCCATTCTGGAGACGCGGCTGGAGATGCTCTTATCTTCTATCCCTCTCATCTCTCTCACCGTCTCACACATCCACACACCCATACACAGGCACACATCCATGGAGAACTCGAAGCACGCATGGCGCAGGACTCGAGCAGCTGCAGCAGCCTGCCAGCGTAGTTCTTGAGCACCTCCTGCTTCAGGTGCGCACCGTTCGTTCACCGGCTCGCCCGAGCAAAGCAGCAGCAGGCAGCAGCTAGCAGCACGTACGCCGGCGGCCGGCCACCAAGCTCCCTCATGCATGTAGCAGCGAAGCAGCAGATGCGAGGCAGCTGCAAGCGGCAGCACATGCACACGGCGGGAAGGTAGCAGCTCACCAACCACACGTCGGCGAGTGGCGGCGCCAACAACCATAGAGGCCACGAGCCACATGCGTCATCGGCGGAGCCACCAAGAGCGGCGGCCAGACTTATCTCGCATAGACGCGTCTTCTTGCTGAGCAGCAGCACCCGCACTCTCCGGCAAGCCACCGGCCAAGCTAGCACACAAGCAGCGGACCGGCTAGCTTGGCAGAGAAGAGGGCATTGCTCACACGAGTGATGACTCGCGAGCTAGGGGCCACTATAACTCGCGGGCATGAATCGCCGTTGCCATTGACGGCGGCATTTTTTTTTAAATTTTGCTGAACATCTTTACCGAGTGTACAACTCGGGAAAGCCATCACCTTTGCCAAGTGCAACCGTACCAATTTTTGCCGTTTCCGTTGTCCGTTAGTTATGTTTCACCGAGTCCCAGTATTTGGCGAGTACCAAAAAAACGCTCGGCAAAGGCGTTGCCGAGTGCGTGATGGTTTGTTCTTGGCGAAATTCTATTTGCCGAAAGGTTGTACGCCTGTTGTCCTTTGCCGAGTGCAACCCTCAGCAAAGGATTTGCCGAGTTTTTTTGGGCTTTCGCCGAGTGTTTACGGCACTCGGCAAAGCCGTCGATTCCAGTAGTGAGTGGTTGTACCGCTCCTCCTCCTACGCCAACCGGGCGCAGGAGGAGGAGAAGGCATTAGCTGACGGTGTCTTGGATTGAAGGGTGCACACCACGTTGGTCTGGCATTCATGGGCCGGACCGAGGACCCATCCACAATTGAAGAATGGGCCCCACATGCCGTGGCGCTCAAGTACACAAGATGGAATCCTCTGGAGACTTGGCGTACACTTCAAGGCGTATTTGAATGATTGGCATGTTTATCCCTAAGATTGTAACTAGCCATGCGTAAACCCTAGATACCCCGTCGCCTATATAAGCCAAGAGGTTTAGTCTATAGAGGCACATGTTCAAGGGTTTAGGAGATTAGAACTCACTAATACGATCACGAGGTAGATCATCCTGTACTTTGTACCCCATCCACAATCGATATTATATGAGCAAGACATAGGGTTTTACCTGTTCGAGAGGGCCCGAATCTGGGTAAAATTGTGTCCCTTTACTTCCTGTTAACCATCCTGCCAAGATCACCAGCTCAGGGCCCCCTTCCGAGATCCGCTGGTTTTAGCACCGACACCGGCTTCTCCTCCACCATAACATCAGTGAAGCGCGCCTGAAGGGGGCACAGTCACCGCCCGAAGTGTCGACCCATCAGCTATCAGAAATTTAGTTGATGACGGCGAAGTGGAGAAGATGACAGAAACGCAAGACTTCAAATCCACTCACAATCCGCCGCTTTGCTTTTGCAATGACCCAGGAATGGTGTTAAAAGTACAATTGAGTTCGGTTAGAGATAAGGAGAAATAGATATAGAATTAGTTTACATCATACAATACGTGTCTTGTAGACCAAGTCTCTCCCACCATTGTACTCTATATATACCACTACGAAGCTCAGATCGGTACATGACAGAAATATTCAGGGTTTCTCTATTTTTCACCTAAGGAACATTGTGGGTTATTACAGTAACTTGCATTGTTCATTCGTCACTTTGTCAATTTTTCACATTGTTTAGCAAACACGCTTAAGAAAACAGTACGTTGGAACTGTGACAATCTGTGTCAAGCTGAACATTAGTAAGCGGATGAGTTGACACGGTCACATGGCTAATTGGCAATAGGCAATTGAATATTGATCCACTTGACTACTTTCTGTGAGCACGCCATTGAAGACCAGCCAAGTCAGCTGCTTGATGCTAATCGGCTCATCGCATTCACATCCACCATCGGTCCATCTCCATCGTCCACTGAGCTCACGTCACCGACTCACCGCCTATGTATATATCCGAGCAGAGCAACCAACAGAGGAGAACATGTCAAGGATGGCGACCACCACCATACAGCTGGTGCTCATCGTGTTTCATTTGCTGGTGGCGGCGGCCTCGACTCAGCGCGTGGCGCTGCCGGGGTGCCGGGACAGGTGCGGCAACGTCACCGTCGTCTACCCCTTCGGCATCGGCGCCGGCTGCTACCGCGACGCCGGCCAGCAGGGCTTCCAGCTCGAGTGCGACGTCTCCGGCCCCGGCAGCTCCCCGCCGCGCCTCACCGTGTTCGGTTACAATCACCGCCTGGGGGCCCTCTCCCTCGGAACGAGATCCTCTGACGTAAGAGAAACTACTGCCGAGGGACGTAGATCGCCCAGCACCGTCCATCCAGCATCCGATGGCGCGTGCCGCGAAGTACAGCCAACAGCGGACCTAGCGAGCCCAATCAGCCCACACGACGATGCAGCCCAGTCCAACGTGATGGAAGAGGGAAAAGGCGCCAGAAAGAAAAAAAAAGGGCGCGCACGACAGAAAAGCGGCCTCCCCTTGGCTGAAGAAAACGATCGCCATCAGGACGATGTACCCTCCTCTCAGTATTTCTGTCTTCCTCATGAAGGGCTCATACAATTAGATCAATCATCACATTACTTTTAACTTGTTCAAGCTTTCCCTTTTGTCATATAAGAAATTGATGGTTGAAATTTGATTTACAAACGGTGCCACACCAACAGAAAGCGGCCTCCCCTCCAATTATGCTCATGTACAAGTAACAATTAAAATGCTCAACCTTTTGCCATTCCTTCGAGAGATATACTGTCCGGTTTGGCATTTCTTTTGTTCAATGCATCTACAGGTTGAAGTGTCACTTTTTATGTTCATTGTACATTCAACAACCAAAGCAACTAAGCAAGCATTGTGACTTTGAAAGCCATACTCTCAAACTAACAATCTCAGATCACAGTACACGTAACTTAAGTAATTCACATCCAATATTTCTTAGCAATCACAATTTGCATCAGTATACAACCCTGAATTTTGCATTCTCAGTCAAACCATTCACTCAACCAGCGACAGTACAGACTACAGAGCAATGCAAGTCAATCAACTGAGCAGACGGCGGCGTTGGCTTCGTGGCCTCGACACCTAGGCAGCGGCGGCGGCGGCGACGCTTGCACCGGGGCGTTGCGGGGCAGCAGCTGGCTCCGCCGCCTCCACGGCTAGGCGCGTCGCGGCCTGACGGAGACAGCCGAGTGGGCTTCATGGCCTCGACAACTCGGCAGCGTCAACGACTCTCTTGCTCCTCGAATCCGGGGCTCGCCCTAGGCGTCATCGCGCCCTGACGGCGGAGCAGCGGCTGCTCTTCCCCGGCGGCGGAGTGAACCCTACAGCGAGGCGAGAGCTAGGAGTAGTGGGCACACTGGGCCGAATGGGCTGGCTTGTTTTCGTGTCCACGCGACGGAAAGATGGCGCTGGTTTCGGTTTGTAGCCAGTGTCGTCGGATGCTAGATGAACGGCCATGGTCGTAGTACGTCCCTCGGCAGTAGTTTGCTCTTACGTCAGAGGATCTCGTTCCTCTCCCTCGCGTCCGGCGAGGCCCGCGCCTACCTCAACGCGACGAGGGAGTGCTACAACTCCGCCGGCGTGCTCCTAGACCGGAAAGACACGTACATGTCCCTCGGCACCAGCCCTTACCTCTTCTCGTCCACCAAGAACCGCCTGGTCGCGCTCGGCTGCCCCAACCTCAGCTTCTTCGTCGACGCCGCCGGCTACTACGTCAGCGGCTGCATGTCCGTGTGCCGGCCGTCCCGGTACGCCCTGCCGGGCCCGTGCACCGGCGTCGGGTGCTGCCAGAGCGCGATACCGCCCGGGGTCAGCTTCTTCGAGCCGCACCAGCGCAACTTCCTGCCGCAGCAGGACGACAACTCCGCCTTCATCAGCAACGCCACGTCCTGCCACTACGTGTTCCTCGTCGAGGCGGACTGGTTCAGCTACAGCGACCGCGTCTTCCTCAACCGCACCGACGACTTCGACGTGCCCGTGGTGCTCGACTGGGCCGTTCGGAACGTCGCCAACTGCAGCGCCGCCAGCCGTAACGCCACAGACTTCGCCTGCCGAAGCGCGGGCAGCGAGTGCTTCGACACCGCGAACGGCCCCGGGTACCGGTGCAACTGTTCCAGGGGCTACCCCTACCTCAGACGGTGAATGCACTGGTACACACCCTGATTCCTGAATCAATACTCAAGTGTTGTGCTCTGTTACGAATTCCTTTTTGCGATTTGCCTGATCAAATGTTGAAATGACTTTGCAAACTGAAGACATCGACGAGTGCCAACTGAAAGGCGAATACCCGTGCTACGGGGTCTGCACAAAGCCACAAACACGCAGGGTAGCTACACTTGCCAGTGCTCTCCCGGGAAAAGTGGAGATGCCACCAGGAAGGATGGCTGCCGGCCAAAGGACAAGTTCGCCTTAGCTCTGAAGATCGTTACAGGTAACACATTCACTTATCTTGTTGGTTCGTCCTGCAATTTATGATAATAATTTTCTTCCCGGGAATCTAAACTAATGATCGAGTATGCAATGTGTCATATCCAGGAGTCAGCGTGGGGGCAGTGTTCATGTGCTTCTGGCTCTACTCGGGGCTGCAGAAGAGAAAACTCATCAAGGCAAAGCAGAGCTTCTTCGAGCACAACGGAGGCGTCATCCTGCAGCAGCACAGATGCACTCCTACAGTGGCGCCGCCAGTGGCGGGTTCAAGATATTCTCGGAAGAGGAGCTCAAGAAGGCGACAAACAACTTCGCCGTTGACCAGATCCTCGGTCGCGGCGGCCACGGCATTGTGTACAGAGGTGTTCTGGAGGACAAGACCATAGTGGCCATCAAAAAGTCCAAGATGATGGAGGCCACCGAGACCAAGGAGTTCGCGAGGGGGATGCTCATCCTCTCCCAGATCAACCACCGGAATGTGGTCAAGCTGCATGGTTGTTGCCTCGAGGTGGAGGTGCTGATGCTGGTCTACGAGTACGTCTCCAACGGCACTCTCTACCACTACATCCATGGCGGCAAGGGCCACGACACCAACAAGGCACTCGACATCCGCCTACGGGTAGCGGCGGAGTCGGCCGAGGCGCTGTCGTACATGCACTCGTCCGCCTCGCCACCAATCCTCCACGGCGATGTCAAGACGGCAAACATCTTGCTTGACGGCAGCCTCACAACCAAAGTCTCTTACTTCGGGGCGTCAAAGCTGGCGCCGATGAGGCTGAGATTGCGACACTGGTGCAAGGCACCTGCGGGTACCTGGATCCGGAGTACCTCATGACATGACAGCTGACGGACAAGAGTGACGTGTACAACTTTGGCGTCGTTTTGCTCGAGCTCTGGAAAGAAGGTGCCCTGCTTTGACGGGCTTGAGGAGGACAAGAGCCTCGTTTCCCGATTCGGGACGGCCTTGAAAGCCGGCCGGCACGGCGAGCTCCTTGATGACCGGGTGAGATTGGAGATGGGCCCGGAGGCGCCGGAAGAAGTAACGTATCTCGTGATGCGGTGTGTGAGCATGATCAGGGAGGAGCGTCCGTCGATGAAGGAAGTTGCTGAGAAATTGGAAGCTCTGAGGAGGTATCAACGGAACCCATGGGGTCAGGCTGGTGCTGATCCGGATGAGGGGCAAAGCTTGCTTGGTAGAGAGCAACAACGTGATGTGAATTATAAGTTCAGACCGCAAGACTTGCTTGATCTTGAAGAGGGTAGTACATACACTTTTAGCTTGTAGATTGTTTTTGTTAGGGCTGTTTGTTTCTAGATTGTTCTAGTGTTTGGTGGGACTCTTTTTTAAATCCACACAAATATGTAAATTCTTTAGGATGTAATGTCATAAATGTGGATTAATTCCTTCATAGAAGAATTTTATTTAGAACTGAAGAGGATGTTCAACAACAGAAGAGAAATGCAACTAAAAAAAGATAAATGTTTCAAGCAAAGACCAAAGGGATCAATACAAAAAAAATTAAAATAAAAGACCAAAAAAATAATAAAACCACAAACATAAAAAATATAACCAAGTTCCAGTAATAAACACAAGAGTGGTGTTTGAACTTGCGACGAATGTTAAGTATAGTGCTTTGAAAATACGTCGAACTGGTTCTAAAACTTGACATGAACGTGCATGTACGTTGCTAATCGAATCCATATACATAAACTATGCTGATTTGGCGCCGTATATGGCTGACGTGGCATGGGGCCCACTTGTAGCAACGACACAGGATTATTTTGGCACTATATATA